TGTTTGGTGGTTTGTTTGGTGTTTTGTTTGGGGGTTTGTGGGCTTCCTTCTCGTGGTTGGGATGCAACCTGTTTTCAACTCCTTCTTAACTTGGACAAGGTGACTTGTGCAGAACCTGCACACATAGCGCCTCGACTCGTGCAAAAAAAACGCGGCACGGTGGAGGAGCCCTCGTTGAAAATGAGAAGCACCCGTACCCTGCCGGCACCAAGCAAGTTTTTCTTCGTCGGCCTCAACTTCTTCGCCCTCACTAGCTGAAGTGACTTCCGCTCCCATGTGCACTGCCTCATCCGTCTTGGGTTCTTTTCGGCCACTGGCAAGACAGACTTTGCCAGGGTAGCGATCCCTGTGGCCTCTTGGGCCACTTCCGGTGGGGAATGCACATCGTCTGCATCACTCCAGACTGGCACCTCCAGGCAGAAGCAGCGCTTGTAGGAGGATGGGAAAGAGATAGACTGTCCATAGTTTGCATCCAGCATGCCCTGCGGAAGGCTTGTGCCAGCCGGGGTGTGTGCGGGACGGCTGGGCGATTGTTGTAGGCAAAGCACCCCTTTTATGCGCGGACGATGATATAGGGATTGGCGGTGTTGCTGTCAACTGCAAATAGTCAAGCTGCCAATCACGGTGGTTGCAGTAGAGTGCGCTGCCTTTCAAGGTTGCTTTGCATTGACCACGGTAGAGATGCCAGGCTGCGTTGTATTTGGAGTACGACTCTTCTGAGAATGTGCCCTTGAACAGGTTGGCATCATAGAAGGAGGCACTAGTGTGTTGGCGGAGGGAGCTACGATTGGCCCGTATGCATTTGAAAGCTGCGCCAAGCTCGAACAGCAATGCCTGGCCCATACAAGGGCAGGACCAGCCGCCCCTACCATGCCGCCCCCACAGGCAGGGACCCCACAAGGATGCTTTCATTCATCGGGCGTCCAAAGTGTCACCTTGGGGATAGATGCCACCTACACTGGGCATAGGGCTTGTGAGAATTGCAAACAATTGATCAAGGTTGACATATCCAGCACATCATTGGACATCCTCAACATGCACACTTTCTCGCACTGTGTAAAGTTAATGGAAATTAGTCTCCCGCCCACCCTGCAGGAAATTCAAGCAGAAGCATTCAAAGGCTGCCTCGCCCTCGCCAGCATTGACCTACCTGACAAGCTCAGGTTTATTGCGCGCAGAGCGTTTGGAGAGTGTGGACTGCTGTCTCACCTGCATTATCGGAGAACGGTGCGAGCCACTTGGAGGCGCCCGTCACAATGCCTTTGAGTCGTGTTTCCGGCTGGCGCTCCCCTGGTGGCTCAATTATCTCCCGCCTAATGGGGACGACTGGACGGCGCCGCCGAGCTTTCATACATAACTGTGCAAAACAGCATAGGCTAATCTAGGGCGGTCGCCTCTGTCACTGTCCCTAGAGGAGAGCCAGGGGAGTAAACGCATTGTGAACAGACCATTACTTGTCAGAGTCGGGTGACATATTCTCCCTCCAGCTACCTGAGACACTCACACTCCCTGAGGTTGCGCTGAGATGGTTGGCTTAGTGAGTTTGAGAATGCGGTGCTTGAGAGCCTCCCATTAATAGGCAAGCGTAGCACCTTTGGGTGTGAACTGGAGTTTGTCAGTTCGAGCACCCAGACAATTCTTGCCGACCCCATTTGGGACACTCTACAAGGATGTAATAGCTTTAGCGTCGTTGTTCGGCAGTGCTTTATTAAGGCGGAACATAAAGGGCAACTGAGACGAAAAACCAAAGCCATTTACGTTCCTGCCGAAGACAACGGTCGCGTGCTGCCCAATGCCTTCTCGCATGTCTCAGACGTCAGGCATGTACAGGTGGAACCAGGCATACACACAGTTGGAGAGTCAGCCTGGCAAAGTTGTCAGCGACCCCAAATTGTCAAACTACCAGCCACGGTTGTTTGTCTCCAGGATGGTGCCTTCCAAGGACGCTGCGAGCTCAAGATGGTTCTAGTCCCGGGGTGCAAACAATTTGGGCGTAGGGTGTGTGCAGAATGCTGCTCCTTGTGCCAAATAGGAATTGCTGAAGATACAAGCAACCTACTGGCCCCGCAGGCCCAGGTCTCCCCGCATGCTTTCGAGAGTTGTCTTGCACTCCGGCAGGTCAGTTTCGAGCAGACAGAGGCCCATGCCTCGAACTGCACGCGATATATACCGGAGGGATGCTTCCTTGGATCAGGCATCGAGCGCTTAGAATTACCAGCAGATTTCAACTTTGTAGGGCCGACTGCATGTGAAAACTGCAAGCGGTTGCAGAGAGTTGATCTCTTTGGTACCGATACAACTGCTATATGGGGGTCGACCTTTGCGCACTGTTCGCGCTTGGAGCAAATCTGTTTCCCACGAAGGTTACGACGCATAGGCCAAGAAGCCTTCCTACTTTGTTCCTCGCTGCATGAAGTGCGCACCCCGCCCGCCTTAATCTACATTGCTCACCAAGCCTTCTTAGGATGTACGCAACTCAGTCGGCTCATCAAAATGGAATACAAAGCCACATGGAGAGGACCCTATGCAGAAAGAGACACCCTCGAACTGTGTGACAAGTTGCACATGCCAGGATGGATCAACCTCCTACCGCCTAATCAAGGAAGCAGTAGGACCTTCAACGCCGAAGAATTTGATGATGAGCTACGCAGGAATCTGCGCTAATGACTTGCTTGCCCGTCCCAGGCTGGCACCTCAGTGTCGGTCCTGCAGACAACATCTTTCGCTGTTGCTGGCACCCTTGTGCAGCGCAACAACCTAGATAGACAGCTCCCAGGCTGGCACCTTAGTGTCGGTCCTGGATGGGTACAAAGTGTACAGGCTTACTTGGGACACCAGACGTTGGGTAACGACGTTTCACTTTGTTTCACTCTTGTAGAGGGGCACTGCATGGTACAGGCATTCAACAGACAGTTGACTCTTAGCACCAAGCACAAGTCAACGCAAACCAAGCGGCTCCCAATGATCATCTAGGCTCTCCCTCGAGCCTCATGGTATACTTGTCTTTCTGTGACCTCCCGTGGCAAAGCTGTTTAGGAGTCACCGCTACAAGTCTGTGAAGTGGCATCCTTGTCCTCCTCCCCTCTGGGAGGAGTTGACAACTGTCGTAGGGAGTGCCTTGCTTCGCAACACATTGGTTTCGGCTGCACTGTTGGTGTGCTCTCGGCATTTTGAAGCTTTCGGAAGCATCTCGCAGTGGTTTTCCTTAGGGCCGTGTCAACGCAAGCGAGCGAACATCCCTACATGTCTTGCAAGTCGCTAGGTACCCGAGAATGCATGGTTGTCTAGTCGGCTTACAATGCTCTCCACATGCAATCTCGCCCACGGCATCCTGACTCAGGACGTTTCGCTGTCTGCAAGGATGAAAATCGAAAGGAGTGAGACCTTAACAAAGAATGTAGCCCAACACTACCTTGTGGTCAAGATGAACTGACAGCCGGTGCTGAATTCATTGCCCCTGTTTCACCTTCTCTTTATTTGGCCGACACGGCTGCTTGAGCTACATACCAGGTTGCTGTTTTCAGTTGGCGTCGCTTTTGGGTTTGTGTGGTTTGGTGGTTTTGTTTGGCTTGGTTGTGTTGTTTGTCTGGTTTTTTCTGCACCTCAACCTGGCTTGTAACTCTCACTTCACTAGCATAAGATGACCTGTGCAACCTCTGCACACATGGCGTCTCCAACCGTGCAAAAAAATAATGCGCACTGTTGGAGCACACGGCAGAATGTCACCATCTCCAGATCGTCAAACTCCCTGCCTCGGTTCTATGCCTCAAGGAAGGTTCCTTTCAAAGATGCTACGCACTTTGCACGGTGGTCGCCCCATGCGTGAACTTTGGAGCTCGAGCTTTTGCTGAGTGTTGCTCCCTTCAAGGAATTGCTATGGGTGATGACGGCAACAACATACTCGCCCCTAGTGCTGCCTAGCCTCGAATCCCTTCGAGAGCCAAATCAAGCCAACAAGGGGCCACAATAGCAACCATCGTAACCTTCGCAAGGATGCTTCAGCTCATCGGGGACTCAAGTGCCTCCAACTCCATCGGACATCAACTTTCCAGGGCCGTTAGCCTGCAAAAATTGCAAAGTGCTTGCTTTTGGTCGATCTTTCCAGTACGGCAATCAACGCTATCTGTGGATCTGCGTTTTCGCATTGCGTGAACCTCCAGCACATCTGGCTTCCGGCCGTACTACAGCTAGTTACAGTCGTCAGTCTGATCTGATTGCGTGGTTCCGGGCGCCAAGCCTATTTACCAAGCCCGATTTATGTCTCACACCTGTCTCACCCTGCATGTACATCCTAGAGTCTCCTGCTTTCTTCCCTGGTCTTTTGTTGTTTGGGGTTGTTTTGTGTTCGCTTTGTTTGGTTGCTTGGCACCTCAAGCGGGAGACTCGTTCATAAACAGCACAAGCTGACCTATGCACTTCCTGCATACGCGCCTTTGCCATCGGAGTTGGATGCCTCAAGACCTCATTGAGCCTGTGTTAGCAATTGAGTTCAAGTGGCACACTTTGAGGTTTTCGTTGTTTAGTTTCGCCATTGACTTGCTGTTGCATACTATTGAATGTCTTTCTTTCATCATGCTATCTTGGCATGGATGGACAATTATGCATTTGTTTGTGTGCGACTGTGCACTATTGTGCTGTTACCCTTGTTCAAATGGAATGAGACCTTGCGTCATATGACCGTCTCTTCCGCAAAGAATAGTTTCGCCGTGTCTTGCCTGTGTCTCCAAGATGATTATACAGAAAACACACACAAACCTTGGTGTTAATGTACATAGTTTCACCGCCGCCGCTGTCTATTTTCTGTTATCGTGCTTTGCGTTTGTTATGAATGATGACTGTCTCGTTTGGGGTTTCAAAGCAGTCAACAAAGCCAAACATTTGAGGGGCTGATAAGCGATGAAAAAGGATGTGCTAGCCTTCAACTGAAACATCATGGATTGAACACTTTTACTTTTGGTCGCGAAATCTTTCTTGTGTACAAGAGACAACAAGTCGTCAGTGTTTGACTCCTTGAATGTTTGAAGTCTTGACGGAATGGCCATGTCTCGCCAGGGCAGGAGCGCATGCTGTCGTTTGAACCAATCTGTGTATGTCCATTGTGAAGCTTGCCACAACTCCCACCAGATATGGGTGATACACATGTAGTTTTCCTTCAGGAAGGACACCTTATCCTCTGACGACATGAAGCTCCTTTTCCAGCTGCAGGCGCATTTGCAACAATGTTTTTGTCAACGACGGCCCTCCAAAATCTGTGCGTTGAGTTCACGGCAACCCAATTTCTTTTTTGCATCCACCATACCCTTGAAATCAAAGAGATGTATATACTTCATTCACATAAAAACATACAACAATATACATTGTGTGTATATATATATATCATTTTGAGAGCTCAGTAAGCACCAGCTCAAATACTTAGATGTCCAAGTTCAGTCGATTTTTGTCGGGAACAACCACAGTCAGGTGTGGAACAGAGAGTTGCGTTCAGAGCTGGATTTGGCAGATGGAGATGTGCCTCAGGCTCTGCGAAGCTGGCAGAAGAGCGTTAATAGAAATCAAACATTGCATGGCGTTGAGAAGGCAACCTCCTACTGCCAGAGACTGAATCGTTCTTGTTGGCAAACTGATAAAATCCCAGCTTGCAAACATGTGGCAGACACAAGAACCAACAAACTTCTACCCCGTCAACTCACTTTTTGTTCGATACTTGCTTCCTCCGAATCCGAACTGGCAGAAGGTTGACTTGCAGACAGATGAGTTTGTAGAGCAACTGAGGCGCGTTGTTGGTTCACTTTTCCCCAACCAGAATTGATGTTCTCCCAACAAAGTGCTCTGTAGAAGGTTTTCCGTTATTCAAGACCTTGGATGACGTTGCATTAGGTGCAGTTAGTGGTGAGATTGTGGGAAGGGGTTGTTTGTTGCATTGTGCAAGGCAAGCAGCTTTGGAGGGCCATCTTCTCTCTGAAGAGCTTGTATCTCTGGAACAGGAGCAGCACAAGTCATTTACTGTACAATTTGGACCATGTCCCAATTGAGGTTAAGCCTGGCCCAGAACAGCCCATGATTGACGCCTTCATTCTTCAAACATCCGCCTTGTTTAAGCAGGAAATTTCCCAGACAGCTGTGCACCTGACGGAGGCTGGAAGGGGCTTGCTTTCGGCGCGTACGGCGCGCGGCGCAGCTTTGGTGTTTCGATGAATAGTTTCAGTGGCTCTAGCGGCTACTCGTTGGACAGGCGCAGG